GCACTCCATTTGGCGATTATAGGCAAACACGAGTCGGTCATAGAAGTGATACTCAGCCAAAACAACAAGTCTTCCTCCATGAAGGGCGACGTGGGATCAGCTCTACTGATGCCTAATCTCAACCTCAAGAACTCAAAAGATCAGACGCCTCTGTCGCTGGCCATACAGTCTGGTCTCCACATAACGGCACAGATGTTGATCAACGCCGGCGCCAGTGTTAACATTATTGACGCCAACGGACTCTCACTTCTTCATCAGTCAATCATCGATGGCGACGAAACGAACGCCATATTCCTATTAAATCACGGCTCAGACATCACTGTTAAGATACCGGATGGCGAGTCGTGTCTTCAGTTGGCGGTTAAGTATCACTTGGAAGCAGTGGTGGACGAGTTGTGTGCCAAAGGATCCGATGTGAATGTTGTGGACAAAGAGGGCAATTGTCTTCTTTGGCTCGCATTGCAGTTGGAGAACGAGAACATCGCCTCAACTCTTGTACGCTATCAGTGCGACACAGACTACTGGGCCCCCGCCGAAGATGGTCTCTATCAGACACTACTGCACCGGGCGTTGGATGAGAACAACGAGAAGGCCGCCTGTTTCCTCATTAGGTGCGGTTGTGATATCAATGCCACCCGAAAGCCCGGCCCTAACGCAACCGGACAGGACGATGTGGACAAACAGACACCGGTATGTCTTACGACATGATTTTGGTTTGGGATGTAATTAATAAAAGTATTTCACATTTATAGTTACATTTGGCGTCGGGTTGGGGTCTGGAGGCAGTAGTGTACACATTGTTAGAGCACTTGGCGAACGTGAACGCACAGGACGTTGAGGGCAAGACTGCTCTCATGATAGCGATTGTCAATCAGCACCAGAAGATTATTGGACTGCTGTTGGAGTGCAAGCAATTAGATCTGTCGTTAAGGGATATCACGGGTAACACCGCGTTCTCCCTGTGCGTGAAGTATAAGAACAATAGGGCCGCCCTTTCCATACTCATCAAAGACCCGACCGCTGCTGACAAGTACGACGGGAAGGGCAGGAATTATCTGCACATCGCTGTCGAAAAGAAGGACATCGAGAGCGTACTCTTTTTGCTCAGTATTAAAGTCAAAGTTCACTCACGAGTTAGAGATAATACACAGAAGAGTGCCCTCCATTTGGCCGCAGAGGCCGGCAATGAGATGATCGTCAGAAACCTGTTGTTAGCGGAGGCGCCCATCGGTGACGTGACGTCTGCTAAACAAACCGGTAATTGATTTATGGCTTATGACTAGGGATTCATTAATTGTATTTACAGTATATTTATTACTTTTTATGCCAAACATAGCCTTACATTTGGCCGCAGAGCATGACTTCAGTGCCATTTGTTCCATACTTCTGGAGAATGGCATCGATTACGACGCGGTCGACATCAACGGCAATAACGCACTACACATCGCGTGCCAAAAGGGACAGTTAGCTACATGTAAAGTATTGCTATCGGAGTCCAGTATAACTGCCGATACCATCAACATCAAGAGCCAGAATCCGATCCATTTGTTGGCCACATTTGGTCGCGAGAACGCGGCCGCCATTTTCGATATATTCATTGAGTCTATGCCTAAATATCCCATTAATACAGTCGATGGGACCGGCAATACACCACTGCTTTTGGGTGAGTCCGTAGAGAATCGTAAGAAAACCAGATTTGCTATAAATTGTATTTCTTATGAATGGGTGAACAGCTTATATGAACGGGAACGGCAACCTGTGCCGGGGGCTCATCAAAGCGGGCGCAGTGTTGGGCACCTGTAATAATGATGGCGTAAACATATTCAACCACTCGGTGGCCACGAAAAACCTATTGTATCGGTTACTGGACTTTTTGCCGGCTGAGCCCCCGTGGACTGCGGCCGAGGCGTGTCTGGAGTGTGGCCTCAAGTTCAGTCTGACCACCCGTAAGCACCACTGCCGCCATTGTGGGCGAGTTCTGTGCAGCCGGTGCTCCGGTAAGGATTTGCCTATTTTGAAGTTCAATCAAACAAAACCTGTCAGAGTATGTGAAGTGTGTTTCGATGTCTTAACACTTGGTTTCAATACATAGAAATCAATTGCAATACAAATTATATATGAAAACCCAATTTTAACTTTTATTATTATAAATATTAAGTTAATTATCATTATTTTACATATAATTACAAATTAATTCCATAGTTATTCGGTATTAAGTCTATTGAAAATCAATACAAAAAACTTTAATACTTTGTATTTGAGATGAAATTATTTTTAATAATAAATTAAATCATTTTTACACAATTACAGCGTTTATTAAATGAGACACAAATTTACTTAAATGTACATATAATTTACAATAATTACAGATTTAAATTATAATACGTTACCATTTATATAATACGTACAGTATATCGCTGACACCATTACCATAAGTGTGATAATGGTATACATTCTTCAGACTAGAATCGGTTCAACACTAAACTCTTTGAATAGTAGATAATGCCGTAAACTGATGGGCAGATCCAACGACTCAATGGTGTCCGGAAACGAGTGATTCAATCGCCGACATTTCGAGTACATGTGCCGCCGCAGTGCGAATCGGGCGCACCTGTAGGTCAGTAGACATTAGGTGTTAATGAATGTGGAAATGGGTGTTAAGAGTATATCACTTACTCTTTGAGAGAATGTGGTCTATCGAACAGATCGAATACCGGCGCCCAAACCGAGTCGTTATACTCGTCGATACCGAATCGCATCTTATAGATGGACTCTATATGGTTGGCCAGTGCTGTCATATGCTCTCTGACCACATTATTGCGCTCAATAACCCCCACCACCACCGGTAATACGTTGTGATACCAGTGCAGAGTCACCAAATGGAAGGACAGACTCAGGAATCGGCCGATGTATCCCTCTTTAAAACAGGTCCGTATGTCGAGTCCGTACCGCAACAGCACCTGTAGGAATGTGGGCTGAAACAGGGCGTGCAGTAGTTCATTGGGTTCCGATTCAGTGCGACAGTAGTTAACGTCAGCCCCGTGTCTGCACAACAGGTCCAGCATACGGGTGCTGTCGCTGTCGTCTCCTCCACTCTCGTACTCCGTGTCGATGACCGAAAACACGCAATGGGAGGGCGCGTAGGCGTTGGGGTGCGTGGCGTTCACATCGGCCCCATAGCGGACCAGTTGACGGGCGGCGTCCCAGTGGTTGAGCGCCACCGCCAACGATAGGGGCGTAATGTATTTGGGCGGAGGCATCGACAGCGAGAACTTCTGCTCAAAGATATAGTCGATTGTATTGACGCCGAACCCGGACTTCAACATCACTTTCAGACACTTCATGCGATCGCTACTAATGGCTAAGTGGAGAGGGTTTCGGAGTTTGAGTTCCGGTAATTCGGGTCTCAATTGGTTCTCAATGTCTTTGACGTCCATCTTCTGCAGCAACAGTTCCAGTGTCTTGTGGTGACCGCATTCGGCCGCCAAATGGATGGCATTCACGCCGTCGTTGGCGTAACTGAAGGGTTGACAACAAAAGGGTTAACAGATTCACAAGAATTAGCGGTCGAGAGGAAGGGAAGGGAAGGCAATATGAATACCTGTTAGGGTTAGCACCGGCTGTGATGAGAAAGTCGATGCAATGGGTAAACCCCTGTTGGGCGGCAATCATGACAGGAGTGGCGCCGTCGTTGGCCCCCTCGTCCAACAGGAACGGCATGTGTTGTCGGACGGCCTCCTCGACCAATACTGTCAAACAGTCGAGCCTTCCGTGTTGTGCGGCCGTGAATATGGGTGTCATTCCGCACCTGTAGGTCAACGAAACAATCATATGTGAGTCAAAGCCGACAAATGGATGGACACCTCCAGCACTGACTCGTCTTTAGCGTCCATTTTGGCGCCACAACTGATGAGTGTTTGTGTCATCACTAGATCTCCACGAGTGGTCGACTCGTGCAGTGGTGTCCAACCGCCACAATCGCCGCGATTTACGTCAACCGCCCGGTGTTTGGCCAACAGCTGCACACAACCCGTGTGTCCGGAACGGGTGGCCGCCAGCAGAGGGGTCTCCTCTTCGTTGTCACCGATATTTGGATCCGATTTGTACTTCAGTAGGGTTTCGACCGTTTTGTAGGCGTTGTGACCCGTGTTGTGACGACAGGCCAACAGGAGGGCTGTCTCGCCCTCGTGTGACCTCCAGCTCGGGTTCGTGTCCTCGTGTTTCAGCAACTCTTCCACCAATTGGTAGCTATTCTTCTCCTTCAGGATCGACGCCTAAGACGTGAGACACACAACACGTGAGTTATATGACAACATATGGATGACTAGTGACTGGCGCTTGGGATGAGTTGATCACCTGATGGAGTGGACGCCAACCCCTGTTGTCCATCACATCGACGGCCAGTCCGTCGCGGATCAGTTTGCGTAAGAGTTTGAGATCATTGAGTCTGACGGCGTTGGCCACCGATGAGCTCGTGTCCGAGTAGTGCTCTTTGAAGTCCATCGCCGGTAATGATGGAGACAATCGTCAGTCCGTGGATGTAGTCATTGGTGTTGTTGTTGTTGTTGTCATACAAACCATCGATTGGATTGTGATCAATCGATTAAATTAGAAAAATTAAATATTAATTATTACACAATATATTAATATTGTACAGTATATACTGTAAATACAATAGCTAGGTCTACTAGAATAGCTTATACTGTACTGTATGATCATATTAAGAATTGTATGAAACTTTAAAAGTCATTAAACTATTGGGAAACTACTTTACAAAATATGTAATTATTTGTTTGGAGTGCACAGGTATGTGAGGGGAATGCCTTTTACTGTCATTATATAAATGTGTATAATATTCATATGAATAGGTCCTTTATAATAATAACCATGCTCATTCTATAATTATATTCACAGAATACCAATCGACAGCTGAATATACCATTGATAGGTTCAGTGCCGACAATTGAGTGCCCTTTAAATGCAATGAGTGTTGGAGTGAGTGTTTGGTCCACAGATGGAGTCATTGCTGCCATTGTTTTGGTGGTCAAGTGAACCCACAATCCAATCGATGGTTTGTATGACAACAACAACAACAACACCAATGACTACATCCACGGACTGACGATTGTCTCCATCATTACCGGCGATGGACTTCAAAGAGCACTACTCGGACACGAGCTCA